AATTGAAAAATTATCATGTCATAAGGTTAATGTAACATCAATCTGAAGTCCAGCTTGATAGCCACACAACAAACCATATGTATTCTGTCAAGAGAAAGTCTTGATTGGTTCCTTATTTGACGATGAATCTTTAGCGACATCCATAAGCTCTGTTTTGGGGGCTTCTATGTAGTGGTGAGTTGTTGGCTTATCCTAAAGTGCCAACAGGTATGGAGGTTGATGCAAGACTAAAGTGGATGTGCGTAAGTCAGCTGAACACTTACCATAATGAACCTCTGATTTGTTTCATTTGTTGGGCTAGTTGGAGAGAAATATTGTCATCAGGGTATTTAATTTTGATTGAATTACCTTTTTGGGAAAAGTAGTCCAGTGCTGGAAAAATAATTTTGTTTAATTTTTTTCCTGGGTGACATTATTACTAGTACTGTTATTATTTTCTTTTTATCCTGAACTTGTGAGTTAAAAAAGAAAAAAAAATGTAACAAGTTTGTATGATTTGCAAAATTTTCATTGCATAATACTCCCCCATGCATTGATATAAAGTCTAAGATACAAAATTGTTTAAAAGAAAAAAAAAAAAAAAAAAAAAACATATTTACCCCCCCCAACAGAGTACTTATAAATCCCTCTTCTCCACCAAACCAAAACTGAACAAACAACAACAACAACAAACAAAATCCAAAATTCGTAAATTATGAAAGTAAAAGACTCCCAGGATTCCTCGATAAAGGGATCCATTGCCCGTAGGTTTATGAGAACAAACGTGGATAGCGACACTGACCAGAGTGGCTCCAACAACGGCGTCAAGGCCATGGATACGTCAGAGTGGCTGGAAGAGACGGGAAAGATGCACATCCACCGCGCTGACATGAACAAGCTAATTATGAACTACCTCGTCATGGGTGAGTTATTGTCGGCTGAGTGTTTGATGGCATTGTTATTCTCTATGTGGAGGTGAGGGTAGTAATGGTGGTATTGGTGTGTTTGGTGTTGTGTATGTATATGTATGGTGGATGTATATAATATCAGTTTATAAGGGGATAGAATGGGTGATTCTTTATAAAATGTTGAGTGGACTTTGTTTCAGTTTTAACAATCTGTATCCTGGTTCTCTGGCTTCATATTGTATTTAGACATGGGAAAGAGCAATAAGTATAAAAGATGTCTGTCACTATAATTGAGTTTAAAAACTGACAAACTCATTTATTACATCTTTATGGAGAGTTTTTGACAATTAATTTTTGAATAATTTTTAGAGTGATAACAGTAAAAGATAAAAAACAGAGCAGCTGTAAGACTAGAAAACTTGGCATGAAGATAAGAGTCTACCGAGGAACTGCCAGATGATAAGTGACTCATGAAAATATATATGGGTGCACCTCACAAAATTTGGATAGAACCTTTTAGCCTAGACTTGCAATAGCTGCTTGCTACTCTTTATGTATATATTAACCAGTTAGGGGAGGAGAGGAGGGAAGGGAAGAATAAAAGGAAGGAAGGAAGGAGAGGCTTCTTCAGGTTACAAAGAAGCCAGCAGATAATCAGGGTTGACTACTGTTATCTCTTTTTAGCTGATGTATCTTTTTTCAGCCTTCTCACTCTTGTGTCTGTTGGAGAGAATGGTAATGGGCTTCTTGTTGACCCACTGCAGCTTTCTGTATTTAGATAATGTGAGTTGTCCTGCTTCTTGGCCTCTGTGAAGTCTGTTCACATATACTTCCAGGTCATCCAAGCAGTACCAGTGGCATTTGTTTGGTGGGCTTGTGCCCTAGTTTGAAGAGATCTACAGCCTCTTATACGGTCTATGCTTTCCTAAAGGCAGCACCTCAGACTTTTCCTGCCCTGTGTACACCTAAAAGGCAAAGGTGTAATAAACAGTAGGGATAGTGCTACACTTTGTACACCTGCAGACTGAACCTGTCCTTCTTAGATGGGATGTCGGGGACAAACTGCTGTCATCCCCTAGCCTTCTACAGGATCTTATCTACTGTGTTCTGTTGGAGATGAAGACTCTTGGGAACTGCTTGCCCAGGATGTCCATTATGCAGAGGTGAATTGCCAATAGGCAAAGATGGGGTTGAAGTAGTCCCTGGACATGGTGTCAGCAAAAGTTGGGATTGCTGGTAATGGGTCCAGTTGTGCTACATTTGCTGCTTTCTTACTACTCCCATCAGAAGACTGAGGGTGTAGTACTATGGGGTTCACTGAAGTAATGTTCCCTTTCTGTACTTTAGTTGGTGTAGGGAGGGCCTCAACAGAGCAGTTGGTCTCCTGCATGATGGTACCCATCAAGTCATCAGTGATGAAGACTTTGTAAATGTGTGTCCCACTCCACTATGAAAACCCAAAGTGGTGTGGAACACTCCCTGTTCCTCCAAAGAAAACTCTAAGTGGTGTGGGTCATTCTCCCTTTTTCTTCAAAGGGAACTTGTAACAGTGAGAGAAACTCATAACAGTGCAGGATATTCTCTCTCTTCCTCGTAATAAAGCTTACTACCTGTTCAATGGTCTTCTTTGCCCAGGCTTAATCCCTGTAGGTGAATAAGGACAAGTCACATAGTGCAGTGTAATTGAGCTTACACTTTTCTTCACTGCTACTGCAAGTGGTGTTGTTTCTTTCATCATGGGTCAGTAGCTCAGAATCATCATCTGCATCTTCACAAGAGAAGAGGACACTTGGGACTTAGTCTCTGGGTTAGCTGGGTATGTCCTATATTGGTATTGTTTCTTTATTGGCTTAATTGACACTGGAATCATCAAATTATGTTATTGCTATACAACTTCCCAGCCAGTCAGGTCATGCCAGCTATAGTGATGTCTATTGCAGAAAAGATCAACATATGCAGGAAATTGCCTATGTGCCTGTAAGATTACAGCAAATATTCATTACAGCTTTGTGCATTTGATATGTACTAGGTAAATGCTAATGGAAAACCCACTTTACTGTAGACAGATTGTGTGTACATGAAATGATATATAAATTACAAGACCCCCTACCTACCCACCATGCAGTTTTAATTTGAGTCAACCCTCGCTGTATGAAAGGTTTCTCTTTAGTAGGAGTTTTTGGTACAGTGATGAGTAATACAAAGGTTTTCTATTTAGATATTATCTGTCTATTCATATAGCAAATGAATATGGATGTAAGATGTAGATATTTGTGTGTAGGGGATAGAAAGATTGATCTACGAAAGTTACTAAGTTATATAGATTTATAGAAAAAAAAAAATAGGTTCTCTGATATTCTTAGTGATATACAGTAAGTTTGACCTCAAAACTTTTCTCACTTTGCTCATTTAAACAGACTTTTGACAAAACCCTTCAATTTACATAGAAGTGTAGGAGCAACCCCTTTCCTGACCTAAATAATTTTCAGAGACTCCTTTCACATGCAGGTGTAACAACCTAATCATTATGAACCGCAGTCTTACCTTACGTACGATTTCCAGAGGGTTTTAAAGAAGCAGCGGAGAAATTTTCAGTCGAGGCGAACATCAAGCCGCCCATGGACCTTGACCAGCTGGACGAGAGGATCCGCATTCGCTCGACGATTCAAGCCGGGCACTTTCAGGATGCCATGAGGATGGTCACTGAACTCCACCCAGAAATTCTAGACGACAATTCTCAACTATACTTCCATCTCCAGGTATAGCTTTGTTTTATACTGTGTGGATATTGTATGATTGGCGTATGTTCTTTCTTATTTCAGTTGAATACCATGTTGATTTCCTTTTACAGCAACAAGTCCTGATTGAATTAATCCGCGAGGGAAGGATAGAAGAAGCGGTTGTGTATGCTCAAGACCACCTCGCAGAGAGAGGCCAGAGGGACCCGACCATTCTGAATGAACTCGAAAGAACTTTAGCACTTCTGGCCTTTGACCAGCCCGACACCTCCCCCTTTGGAGATCTCCTTCATCCATCTCACAGACAGAAGGTAAGACTGAGTTGGAGTTAGTCAGGACGAGGAGCAGAGATTTGTGACTTAATTTGTGGGATCTTTTCAACCCTGATTTTCTTCTTTATTTACATTTAACTTCTTTTAACCTTATTGTTATTTCTTCATTCCAAATCAGGTTGCGAGCGAGCTGAACGCCGCAATCCTCAGAGCACAGAATCAAGAAGAAACCACACCACTTTTAGCAGAACTTCTAAAGCTCCTTCTCTGGGCCCAAGACGAACTAAACAAGAAGAAAGTCCAGTATCCCGTCATGACAGATCTCATTAAAGGACAAATCGAAGAACCAAAGTGAACTATTTATTGTGACTTATTTACTAGAACCATTGCTGTAGGTTAAGGCTTCATCCCTAGCAGTTAGTCACAGGCTGCAGTTCGAAAGCAAAACCTCTCGAGTCTAGGGATTAGAACGTATCAAATTTGGCAGGTTTATTCAGTTGGTATTTTATATATATATGTGTGTATAAAGATTTTAATTTTCAACCAAGGATACCAAGAGGAGTTCACGTGCCTGTCTGGTAAGTGTTCAATGTGTAATGTTACAATAGTTTGACGTCTGGAAGTGAACCTTTTTCTTCAGTGAGTCAAGAGATGATTGTCACTGATAGACAGAGAGACTTTTGCTTTAAGTTGAAGGCAGGATACTTGAGTGAATGTTATTATTATCTCATTGTTCAGAAGAAGAAGAAGGGTGTATGATTTCTCTCTCTCTCTCTCTCTCTCTCTCTCTCTCTCTCTCTCTCTCTCTCTCTCTCTCTCTCTCTCTCTCTCTCTCTCTCTCTCTCTCTCTCAGATTATCTATTTATGAAGCTTGTTTCATTACATATAATCAGTGTTAAATGATTCCTTGAGATATATATGCATGATCCAGAGCCAAGGTATGATTATTACATATTGAGCCTCATTCATTGTATAACACTGAGCTTATTACAATTATTATTAGTTATATTGCTGGTGATGAATACCAGAGAAAGAGCTGAAAGGAGAACAGATTTTATATGTGTAAGATTATTTGTTAGTAAATAAAAATAGATAAAAAACAATTCTTTTCTTTATATTTCTTTAATCTGTACCTTTAGTAAAGTTGCTAAGTGTATGGAATGCTCTGTTACACACACCAGAGTTTCAATATTAAGACATTCCTAAACATTCTTTGTGAATCCATGAGTGTGTAACAGCATCATCAGATACAGTTGTATTTGATTTTTGTTCCATAAGATTTTTGGAATTAATGGTAGAATAATTCTTTTCTTTATTTTGGATGGAACAAACACAGTCCTAGCCTTCTGCTATCTTCGAATACTGCTCAGGTACTGGTTTTCACTACAATAAGAGTAATTTAGGGATTTTACCCTTGTAAAGATAGATCTATTATCAGCAGGTTTTTTTTTTTTTTTATATGAGAAGTACTTTTATCATGTAAATAAAAACTAGAAATTTATAGAAACCATATGTATTCACACTTGAACACTTAATTCAAAGCATAAGTTATTTGGAAATAGTTTTGAAGCTTAATAAATACTTAAGGAAATATTTGTAATGTCACCCATATCCATCATGAAGCAAAGCAACCTAGGTCAGCTACAGTGTCAAAAGACCTAAATTCTGCAATGGGTATTAATGTGGCAATGTGGAAGTCATGTTCAGGCGACCAGTGCACTGGTTTGTGCCTCTGATACAGACATGAGGTCTTAGTGCTGTTTTCTGGGGCTAAATTCTTTCAAAACCATAAAAGCATACAACTACCATAGTGAATAGTCTGGGTGGTAGAAGGACTATAGACTGGTTAGACAGCGACAGTGATGGCAATGATGCTAAACAGTTAATTAATTAACAATCAGAGGTAAGTAACACTATCTCTTTCTCTCTGTATCTTTCTCTTTCTTTATATGTTTATTTAATATTTCCTCTTTCTGTCTCTTTCCCTTCCTTTTTGTCTCTCTGTGTCATTTCTCTCATTGTGTCTTTTTCTCTCTCTCTCTGTCCTTTTCTTTTAATATGTTTGTCTGTTTGTCTCTCTCTCTCTCTCTCTCTCTCTCTCTCTCTCTCTCTCTCTCATCTAATGATAATGATAATGATAATGATAATGATAATGATAATGATAATGATAATGATAATGATAATGATAATGATAATGATAATGATAATGATAATGATAATGATAATGATAATGATAATGATAATGATAATGATAATGATAATGATAATGATAATGATAATGATAATGATAATGATAATGATAATGATAATGATAATGATAATGATAATGATAATGATAATGATAATGATAATGATAATGATAATGATAATGATAATGATAATGATAATGATAATGATAATGATAATGATAATGATAATGATAATGATAATGATAATGATAATGATAATGATAATGATAATGATAATGATAATGATAATGATAATGATAATGATAATGATAATGATAATGATAATGATAATGATAATGATAATGATAATGATAATGATAATGATAATGATAATGATAATGATAATGATAATGATAATGATAATGATAATGATAATGATAATGATAATGATAATGATAATGATAATGATAATGATAATGATAATGATAATGATAATGATAATGATAATGATAATGATAATGATAATGATAATGATAATGATAATGATAATGATAATGATAATGATAATGATAATGATAATGATAATGATAATGATAATGATAATGATAATGATAATGATAATGATAATGATAATGATAATGATAATGATAATGATAATGATAATGATAATGATAATGATAATGATAATGATAATGATAATGATAATGATAATGATAATGATAATGATAATGATAATGATAATGATAATGATAATGATAATGATAATGATAATGATAATGATAATGATAATGATAATGATAATGATAATGATAATGATAATGATAATGATAATGATAATGATAATGATAATGATAATGATAATGATAATGATAATGATAATGATAATGATAATGATAATGATAATGATAATGATAATGATAATGATAATGATAATGATAATGATAATGATAATGATAATGATAATGATAATGATAATGATAATGATAATGATAATGATAATGATAATGATAATGATAATGATAATGATAATGATAATGATAATGATAATGATAATGATAATGATAATGATAATGATAATGATAATGATAATGATAATGATAATGATAATGATAATGATAATGATAATGATAATGATAATGATAATGATAATGATAATGATAATGATAATGATAATGATAATGATAATGATAATGATAATGATAATGATAATGATAATGATAATGATAATGATAATGATAATGATAATGATAATGATAATGATAATGATAATGATAATGATAATGATAATGATAATGATAATGATAATGATAATGATAATGATAATGATAATGATAATGATAATGATAATGATAATGATAATGATAATGATAATGATAATGATAATGATAATGATAATGATAATGATAATGATAATGATAATGATAATGATAATGAT